TCAGCTCATTAAGCACCGCATACCATTCGAGTCTGCTGGAGGTATGGGGGGGGGGGGTGAAAAATGACTTGAACATCGGAAGTTGACAGAGCATAGTTCAGGTTTGAGGATAAAGAAATCGTTAATCTTTTTGCGTTGGGGTGATTTTGTACAATGGTTTTAACGTGGTGATTTCAACTATGATTTGTGGTGATTGTGGTGATAATGAAGATTATATTTATTGTGGTGATGATGACGATGGTGATATGATATCAGCATGATTATGATCATAAGAGCGCTGATTGTGAATTCAAATTGATTGTCTGGTGATGATTAATCAGGGGACAATGAGTCACAGTGTTTAATTGGCGTGCTGTTAATTGCTCAAATATGGAGAGGTTTGGAAAGAAAGATTTGGACATGGAAACAATCGACTGAGTATGCGGGCAAGGACATTCTGAAAGGTCGAGGATGTGAAAGTGTAACGGTTAAGTAGAGCGTGACCAAATGGAGGCAATTTTCTGTGAAGATATGGCTCATTTGCTTGGATTTGAATGTGCATTTGAAATATTCATGCTATAGACAGTTCTGTTCATTTTCAGTTTGCGCATTAGTTTTTTTCTTTGCCAGCTGGATTTTGTTTTAGATATATGCATGCTTCATGAATGTTCACAGAAGGATTATGAATGATCCGAAATCTGTTAGTTTGATAACGGCACACCGTATGAAATAATAATGCTAGAATGTTATTGGGATGCATGTCCCAAAAGTACTGCATGTTGGTCATATTTTCATCAAGAACATGTGTACGTTCTTGTGTTCCCCTTTCTCGGGAGTGTAACAAAAGGGCCGCGGGGAAAAACGGGAAAAAATCCGTTTGTCTCGGATCACCTCCGTAGCGGCCTCCTATCGCGTGCCTGCATGTACTCTTGAATGTCCCTCACGTCTCATTATCTCTCACCCGTGACCAACGTCAATGCCAGGGCTAGAAAACATTCATCTCTGGGAAATGAGAAAAAGGTAAATTGACATAGCCGGTCCCTTCAGAGAGAGGAAAAGGGCAGGTTAAAGAGGGGGGGGGGGGGGGGGGGGGGAGAGAGAGGGGGGATGGGAGCTACTGATTGGGGCTTTAGATTCATCCTGGAATTTAGAAGTGTAGAAATGGAGATAAGACTGATGTAAAATATGAGGGTTCTGCCTGAAATCATCTCCACTATGTTTGTCATCATAAACTGTTTTTTTCCCTTCTTATTTTAGGGTGGGAGAGGGCTCCCGCTTGCACTAAAGCCAGATGATTGCACATGAACATGTACATTAAAGGGTCGTCTTTTTTGAAAAGGTTTAAAGTTGGCTTATGACTAACTGTGAGAGCATACTGTCTAAAACACTGAGTTTCCCATGCAACCACACAAGAGATTTCTCAAAAGAGATATTTTTTTTAATTCCCAAGGACCAGGTGCAAACTTACTAACTTGTTTTTAAACATTCGGTTATCGGGGTTTCTGCGGAAGTTCAGCCAAACTTATTGATGCGGAAGGACTGAATTTGATATTTGCAAATTTACAAAGAGGTGTCATTTTAAATTGAGGGGGAACTCGTTAGTAAATTTGTGGAGTATGCAAAAATGCAAACTCGAAGGGCTAAGGATTTATCTGATACATACCGTCGGGTGCACCACAAAGTGACGTATCGTCTATGGACTTTGTGCACACGATACGTCACTTCGTGGTGTGACCGACGATACATGTACCGGTACCTCTACGAGCAAAACAAATTTGTTCACAGAGAAGCCTGTTCACCATGAATATGCAAGGAACCAGGAGTTCGGGAATATGCAAATTGAAACCAGCTAGCGAAAGGAAAGACAGAAAGACAAAAAAAGTTTCACAAATTCTTATCTTGACTATTTGCACCTGGTCCTATGTTCACCTGCACTGCCCCAGCCCAGCACGACTTCCGGACCGGCCGCGAATACAACCTCTTAATGTCCAATCGATCATGACAGGTGTGGGGGCTATCGCGACACGGAAGCGGGACCCGCTATGCAAAGTGACAAGCCGCTCGTTTTTTTTAAGTGTGCCAAAATCTCGATGGGTCGCGTCTCTGTCACTGAGGAGTAGGATCATTTGCAATAACCCACAAAAATAACTACCGATTTAACGGGGGCCTGGCCAAGTATTAAGCTTCGGCTTTCTGCCAGCCTCCACCATTCAACACCTGAATGCTGTATATTCCGTTCAGGGTACATGTATTTGTTCATAATAATTATGGGAAAGAAATCAAATCAAATTGAAAGTGAAGATAAGGCTGTTATCATCTACTCAGTGAAATAATATTAGGAAGAAAACCAATTTTGAAGATGGTTTTACAATCGGGTGTCCGCATGTTTCATGCTTTAAAAAGGAGACCCAAAAATTGTACACATCTTTCCTCTCTTTTCTAAAAATGTATCAACTGAGCTGAAACTTAAGCAGGTTAGTTGTCATGCATCTTTCATGTACAGGGTGAGTAAAAAAACACGAAACCCAAATGTCGGGACCATTGTTTAAGTGAAGTTCTGCATGTAGCACTTTCAAAATTTAGGATATGAAAGCCCAATTTGTATATAAGCTTTCTTTTAGTATAAGAATCAGTCAAATCACTCATGTACTTTTCAAGTTACGGAATTTTAAACACAGCCACCATTTTAAAGTTCTGTCCATGGATCACAAGAAGGTACATGTGTTCTTTCAGCAAAACGGAAAAAAATCACATAGGGATGTGTGTGAATTGTTTTTGTTTTGCTGAAAGAACGCACTCTTTTTTTTGATCCGTGGACAGAACTATAAAACGGTGGTTGTGTTTAAAATTCGGTAACTTAAAAAGTACATGAGTGATTTGAATGATTCTTGTACTCAAAGAAAGCTTATGAATTGGGCTTTCATATCCTAAATTTTGAAACTGCTACATGCAGAGCTTCACTAAAACAGTGGTTCCGACAGTTGGGTTTCGTGGTTTTTTGACTCACCCTGTACTTGCAATTTTTGGCTGTTTCCAGTAAGAAGTTGATGCAAAAGAAAATTAAATCATGCGTAAGTCTCTCAACAGAACCCTGCAAAAGTACACGTTGGTGCATTAGCTGTTATTTCCCTTTCCAAACATACGTCACTAACAGCGCAGTACATCAATGATGCATAAAATCACAGACCGTGAGTAATTTGTACAAGACAACATCTTGCTAAGTCTTTCTGCCAAAAATATTGATGCGAAAGTTCAAGTCCCTCTAAATATTTTGCTTTGGAGTCTTACAAAAAAAAAAAATCTAAAGCCATCTTATTTGCTCTTCACATCTTTAGGTTTGTAAAAAGAAACAAATGGTCAAGAGAGGGCCCCTTAAACAAAATTTTATTATCTCGTTGGACTGGTTGGATGTTCAGTAGAGGGGGGGGGGGGAGGGTTCTAGGAAGTGCCAAATGACCAACGCAGAAAATTTGAAAAGACGGCGGCGGCATTGTGTGCAGGGATAATGAGACGATGCTGTGACATCTTTAATATGTGGAAAAAATCACAAATTTGCAGGCTATAAATGATGTTTAATGCAAAAATGAGTATTCTAAATGTGTTTTTTTCTTGATTTGTATATGGCACAGTGTTGCATGCTTCAGTGGTTTATAATTTTATTTTCAACTCCATTGTGATAAAGTGTTAAATATGTCCAGATCTTGACTGAATTTTTATGTCACTCTTGCTAAGATGCCATTTAACTTTTGTTTTCAAATTTGTTTCTGCATTGGAAAAAAAAACTATACAAACACTGGTCTATTTTTTGCCTGGAATTCATCAACTGAATTACAACAAATTAAGCTCCCCAAGATGATAAATTATGTACGAATAACAGAAGAGAATTGACAACTTTTGTAGTTTTTGGGGAACAACTGGCAAAAAACTGCAGCAGGACTGAAAAAGTGAGACAATGAGGCAATGAAATTCATTTTTAGAAACTCCCAAGTCCAACATTTTAAAATATGGAATGATCTGATTCACCAGTGTTGAACAAATTTCCTTTTGGGGGGGGGGGGGAGCTATACATACATTATATTCTTAAGTTATTGCTAGTTTTTCCACTTAGTACTGTTACTTCAATTGACATGCATTGTGTTTGATGATTGATGGTTATATTAAGTTTTTCAGCTACCGTATTTGGTTCTATCTGTTATCTGTGTTTTGCGTGCTGTCGCACGGAAACAGCTGCCTGTAAGGGAATTGCATGGTTTGCTCATTCAATTGATAACAAAGCACAAAGTAATAAGGCTGTTTTGAAAAACAAAGGTATTTTTCTAATTAAATTTTATTTTGCAATGCATGAATTGCATATCTGTGTAATATTGCATTTGTATTGTGGCCTTGTGAACTGCATGATACTTGTTTGTTGATAAATATTCTGCATTGTATTTTAAAATAAAGAACTTACAAAAGTCTGGGTAAAAAAATTTAACAGAGCAAACTTTCATAAAAACGAAACGATTGTGTGATATGTGAATTTGGTTGAATTCAGTTGATTTCTTTTTTTTACATATGCATCCTTTATTAATTCTTAATGATAGATTATAAATATAGAAAGCAAAAAATGATTATGCATGGTATTGTTCTTGCACGCAGGCATTTGCACATGTTTGCATAATTTTGCATAAGTTTGCATAAATTTGCATAAATTTGCATGTTGACTTGCTTTGTTGATTCACGCTGAATGGCCAAATGCCCCCTAGGCTGATACAAATGGCTCTGAAATATCCCAAAACTTTTTGCACTTCTAATATGTACTTCTTCAAGGCAAACATAATGCACATGTCCTGATCAAAAAGGGGTTGTAACAGTTTAAAGTTACCGAATGATAATCCATACTTTTGTCATCATAATGTAAGTAATTTTTGCAATTTTTATCACTGTTTTTTTTTTTTGGCCTTGAATTCAACCCAATCCAAATCATCAACATCCGCCATGTCTCTCAGCAATATTCCTCTATTTTTCCCATGCCACATTAGAATATACGCCTGCACCACAATCGCAATCTGATGAAGGTAGGTTGTCTTCGTACTCTGGCCTGATGACCCCTGACTCAGGGGTCAAAGTTCAAAATGTCATGCCACCGTGTCATCGTTAACCTCTGACCTTTTTTTCTCCTAACCATTTAATCCCCTCTGTTCTCGTACTTCTACATCAGCCATTTCAAAAATATAACTTCATCTTTCAGCCTTATATAGCCTTTTTTTCCATCATGCCATTGCACTATTTTATTGATTTATTATTCCGTTTTTCATGACGTGTTTTCTTTTCTGTTATTTTGTTGAACTAACCTTGTTCAAATTGTCATTAGTTGTTAATTATAAAATCCCAGTGTTGAAGTACATGTATGTAAATCCCCAAAAGAAACCCTTTGGTTTTGCTGACAGAATTGTTCCTGTTTATGGCTTCCAGTTATGGGGTTGCAAATTGTTACCTGGATGCAGGGCTGCCAACTTTGAGTAAGAGCTGAGAGTGAGAATTTGGCGTTGATGCTTGATCGATCAGAAACAATGCGAGCACGAAGCGCGAAACCCTAACGGCATGGGGTTCGGGGCCCCGCGCTTAAGGGCCCTGGAAAATTGGATTCTAGATGCTCTGTGGTGTGATCTGAGGCAATTTCTGACCACTTTGACCAAATTTTTTTTCAGCAAAAGATCATCATTTAAACATCATTTCAAGTTGTTGTCTTTTTAGCATGAGAAATCCTGTATTGGCGTGAGAATAGCATAAAATGCGTGAGTCTCAGGCTCAGTGCGTGAGAGTTGGCAGGCCTGCTGGATGTGTTGTTCCATTACAATAGACTGAGCCATTGAGTCCCACCCCCTAATGTTTTGGCCAATCACAGCTCTGATTAACGCCTGTCATGCATGTACTAAAGTCCCAACATGTGCAAAGTGGGCGTGTCTGATGGATCAGTCTATTGTTTACTCCATCCTATTATTATTTTTTTTAAATTAATTAATTAATCTATATAATTGATAAAAAAAACAAATAATAGGTCTAGTTTATGTTTGAAATAAAACAATGATTTATAGTACAATTTGAGAATTAGGCTAAAAGAAATAATAGTTGTGCTTCCGGTTACCCTACCTACCCTATTTGACAGCCCCTACCCTTATTTGTTTTGGGGGAAAATGAGGAAAAAAACCCGAAAACAATCAATTACTACCTTTAACCCTACACACAGACACTTCCATATGATCGTACACAAAAAAATTTGCCCCCCTCCCAACAAAAATTCCCTACCTACCCTATTTTCAAATACCATGTAATCGGAAGCAGAACTCTTTTATTTTTTGTTGTCTTAAAAGAGGTTTGGGATACACTATGTGAAGAGAGTCTCTTTAAACTGAGAGCTGTTTCTGAGAATAAGGGTAGGTGTGAATACGACCTTTCGGTCAGTGTTCACTGACCATCAGGATATGGTCAGATGATGATGGTCGGAGCGCTGACTGAAACCTAACACCTGCGGTTCTTCTTTGAACCATCTCTCTCAAATAGACGGTGTATATAATTATCTGCAAACCTATCCCTCAAGTGAAAATATTGTGATGTTTCTATAACGGGTATCTTACAAAATTAAAGGACTAGTGAATGTTTGCGGTAACACCATGTAGAAATCTCTTTTGGGAAAATGTGTGGTTCTGGAAAGAACCGGTTGTTTTTTTCACATCCACACATCTTCCCAAAAGAGATTTCTACATGGTGTTACCATTACTGCAAACCTTCACTACATGTAGTTTAAACCATTACCATGAAAAGTTTCAAATCTCGCTAAAAATTAAAGGACCATTTGTTGTAATTTTCTGACTTGTCGTGGAAACCTTTCTCGGAATGAAGATATTCACACCTTGTGAATTTATGCTCATCCGCATTCATTCTAAAGATAAGACAAAGCAAGCCTAGTAAAGCTGGTCCCAGAGTGCACAACATTCCATTCAATGGATTCAGAGTGGCTATTCGCTGGAAGTCGTTTCATGCATCTTGTCTACACAATTTGCAGTATTTAGTCTGTTGTTGTTATGGGGCAATCCTATATGATAGTACTGCCCTGCTCAAAAGTGACAGTCAGTCAGTCAATGAGATAGGTACATGTATGTACACAGAGGACAATGAGCTCCGTGCGCTACCAAAAGAGGGCGCCCTTTTACCTAGCAACGACGTCCCATGCTTGGGCGGTACATTTCGCTGGTTGACGCGCACCGTTCCTTGTGTGTGACGCGCGTACACCAGGGGATTTGTTCTATGTACACGCAGTGGCCGCGCATCCCCAACTGTACTTCCTTTGCCGGTGAGGGGGTACTTGTGAACGGAGCGGATAGGCTTGAGCTCTGGGACCAACAAAAAACATGCGTTGCATATCTCCACTTAGATATACATGTAGTAAGCTATCAAATTATATTTTTTTTATTTAAAAATGATGTTCCAGGTTTTTTACTTTTTTTTCTGAAAAGTAATAACTCAATGAGTGGAAACTGTAATTTGATATTGGTATTAAGTTGAGTTGAATTGAGTAACAGTACAATATGAAAACAGGGCTTTTGACCTTCTAGTATCATATTAAATTAAATTGAAGTTTAAAGGTACTGATGACAGTATCTATCATGGCTAATATATTTTTATGTGATTGATCGGGATCTGCACAGACTAGAATGTGAATAAAGCACATTTTGATAAGTCGATTAATCAAATAGGTATATTACTAATACAACAAAATATATTATTTGGGTGACGGTTTGTTATTATTATCATGCATGTCTTAGATTCTAAATTTGCTAGTTGAACACATACATGTTCATTTAAAATATGTGTTGTAATGATCATAAGAAGCCATACTCTCTGATGAAAATTAGATCAGATGTTTAAGAGTAGCAATCACTCCCACCAGGAATTCTTGAAATGTAATTGGAATTTTTGCTTGTAGACAGATGGTTCAAATGATTGACTTGCAGTGCTGAAGTCCCTTCATCCGTTGGGCAAACACTAGCAGATGTACTTAATGGAAAACTTTTCTGGACGGTTGTGACCACATCCCGAGAAATGAGTCATAAGAAAGAAAAAACTTCACTTATTCGTTTTCCATATGGGTTATTCTATAATTTTTGGTCCACTTTTTTCCTGTCCCTGATACATCTGACATCTATGATTTTATAATTCTTGATGCATTCCTTTAGTGTAGCTGTCCTTCAAGAGTAATTATGAATAGCAAACCACCTATCCAACAAAGAAAACCAAAAATGTTTGAAGTCATTCTTAGCCTAATGATACTTGAAAACTACAAAGTTCAGAGGTAACAGGGACAGGAAAAATGTCACACTTTGGACCCTAAACTTATAGAATGACCCATGTGCATCAGAAATGAGTATACAGGGTGAGTAAAAAAACGCATCCCAAATGGCAGGACCAATTTTTGAATGAAATTTTGCACTTTCAAAATCAAGGATGAGAAAGCCCAATCAATGAGCTTTCTTTTAGTACAAGAATTATTCAATCACTCATTTACTTTTCAAGTTATGGCATATTGAACACAAACACCATTTTAAAGTTCTGTCCACGGATCACGGAAAAGGAACGTGTTCTTTCAGCAAAATGAAAACAATTCACATGCATCCCTATGAGAATTGTTTTCGTTTTGCTGAAAGAACACTAGCTTTTTTTGTGATCCGTGGACAGAACTTTAAAACAGTTTTTGTGTTCAAAACTCCGTAACTTGCAAAGTACATGAGTGATCTGATTGATTCTTGTACTATGAGAAAGCTTAGTGACTGGGCTGTCATATCCTAGATTTTGAAAGTGCTACAGGCAAAACTTCATTCAAAAATTGGTCCTGCCATTTGGGATGCGTTTTTTTTTACTCACCCTGTACAGTACTACATGTACTCTTCATTTTGACAAACCACACAGTTTAACATTCTGATGAATATGGATGTTTTGTGAGTGAAAAGGTTGACAGTTTCTTTGGATTTTTCATTTTGCAAGATTTATAAAAAGACCTAGTTCTAGTGACTTGTGACCAGCAGCTGAGTATAGGGTTACAGACTAGTAAATAAACTGCCGTAGACCCCAGTTATCAATACACCTACTTTCAAAATTCAGGAAAAAATACTCACAACTCTCCAAAGTGTTTGAGACACACATCAAATTGAAGCTTATTTCATCATCTTTCATTTGCTGTTCAAATTGTTTGGAGTTAACCATGACATTTGGGAGAAAATTCCATCCAAAGTTGATCACCCCTAAAAGTAGTCCTGAAGCCCATCGCCATTTTGAAAAATGATGCTAGCGCTCCATTGCAAAATAGAGCAGTTTGAGAGACCAATTTCATCCGAATTTCACAGGAATGTGAGCTTGCAGTCCTGTTCACAGCTTCCACCCCTCTTTTTTTTTTTAACCCTCCAGTTCCTTGACCACAAAATGTTCTAATAGCCAAAACAATTGAGGGCATGCAAAAAGTGATTTGGCCAGCATAGATTTTTCAGGACTATTTACTGGCCTGCAACCATAGGGTTTCAAACCAGTAAATAAACTACCATAGACCCCAATGATAAATGCCCCCACTTCAGAAATTTGGGGAAAATACTCACGACTCTCCAAGGTGTTCAAGACACATCAAATTAAAGCTTATTACATCATCTCTCATTTTCTTTTCAATTTTTGGGGGTAATCTGATAACTATTAGGAGAAATTTCCATCCGAAGATGATCACCCCTTAAAATAGTCCTGAAGCCCATCGCCATTTTGAAAAATGGTGCCTACACTCCATTGGAAAATAGAGCACTTTTAGGGTCCCAATTTCATCCAAATTTCACTGAAACACAAGCTCACAGTCCTGTGCACGGATTCCATTTCTTTTTTTTTAACAAACCCTCAACTTCATGGCCCACAAGATGCTCAAATATGGAAGAATTTGAGGGCAGGCAAATTGTGATTTGGCCGGTGTAGGAAATTTTGGACCGATTTACTGGCCTTCAACCATAGGGTCAAACTTCTGGGGGGGGGACCATTCGGTGCATCAAGTTTTGGGAGGTGGGAGGAGGCACTAAAGGCAAATGAAAACATCATTTCAGCAGTGCAGTATGATATTTTTATACTACTTATGACTATGGGTTGGGTTATGTAACAGGCTAAAAAGAAATTGTAAATGATGGCTCTTAACATGGAGACCCATACTAATAACGGAAGTTTAAGGTGGCATATTGTACACGTACAACAGCTTAAACAATTACTTCAACTTGAACAATGGAATTTTACAGGAAGCGTCAACATTTTCATCCACATAATATTCACATGCATAGCACAGCATGTTCTTTCAACTTCATGCAGAAAACAAATGTTACTTAAAACAAATGTCCTTCAGACTCATTTAAATCCAATTACTGCAGCCAATTTCACAAAACATTGCATAAATTACGCCACTTTCAAATGTGGCGCGAGTGGAGGTATGCAATTGCGCAAAGTTTTGTTGAAAAAGCCGCTGGTTCCTGACAATATAACTATCATGAAACAGCCATTTGGACTTATATTTGAATACGTGTTTATTTGCTATTGGAGTCTGGAAAGAGGGTTATCACTTAACGGGAGTTAATTTGGCATCGAGGATCCAGCTTGTCCGAGCCTTAACAGCTGTCTCTGGCTCCAGCCGATGTTTAGTTCGTCAGCGTGAATCCAGACGGGTTTTTGGTATGGTGAATCTCTCGCCATGTGTTCATCTCGGGGGGGGGGGGGGGGGGAATCTGTGTCAAATGTGACACCGTGATTTGACCACAAAGTGAAAAGTGTGTTGTAAGTGTTGTATACATGTGCCTTGAACAGAATTTGTGAAAAAAATCAAACTTGGAGAGAATTCAGCTGGGAAAGGCTTAACATACATTTGAAGTATTAAAGGATTTAGTTTAAAAGTATTAAGTTTAAAGGATTTTGAGATGTACACTGGAGTAAACAGTTTAATTGTCCTATCTTAGTTTCAAATACAGGAATATGTGACCCTCAAGTACAAAATCAGTCGGAAGTCACACGACAAACATTATCGCAATTCAGATTTAGCCATTAGATGCTAGATTGATTATTATATTTCATTTTCCAATGAAGTTAACTTTCCTGAAGAGTTCATTTGGGAAACTTTAACAACAAATTTCTCGTTTTTTAAACAACTTTCTGAAATGGGAAACTGAAAGTACCTATAACTTTGTCAGATTTTGTCTGATTCCCATGTTCTATGCATCATTGGAAAGCTTATTCAATGTCATTTCAAATGAGCCCAAAATCCCAGTTTTCAAATATTGATCCAAGTGACTGGAATTGTGCTTGAGGGTCACATAGATGCAAGCAAATAAAATGCTTTGAATATGGGGAGTGTGAGGATTAGTTGCCATGCATCATCCTGGCAAACTTAGAAATAGTTGAACACACAGAAACACAATATTAGTAAGTGCCTTGGCACAGACTGTGTTTTGGGGCTATTTTCTATTTATAATAACAAAATTTGGACCAAGTTGTGGGGACTTCCCACTGTCCCCACAGTGTCTTTGGTCCCCACAATAATTATCGCTCTTCTGATGTGAGGTCCCCACAACTCTGGAACAAGTATGTGTGTTCTCCCCCCTCCCCCCTTGCAAAAGCACAAAAGTTACTAATCTAAGTTTTCTGGACTGACCAATTTTTCCTTCTGGGGAAATTAAGGCTTTATTTTTGTGGCCTATTTGTGCATTTTGGCTGTTCCGGAGTCAGAAAAAATGTGTTGCGACCGCGCCACGACCATTTGTCACTCCAGCTGTTAACGGCAAGAAACGTGGCAACAACCACAGCGGTCCTGGCCAAAACTGCGACGAATCACGCGGCTGCAAAAATTGAATTACGGGATGGACGGAGTGTTTTCTTAAGGAAGCCATATAATTGATATTCTTGCGTTTCTGTTTGGACAATCGGCGATTGAATTTTGTAGGGAGTTATTTAACTGTTTTTTAGTTTTACTCGGTGGAAAAGTGCAGAGTCCGCCGCTGGGATATTGTTTGCACTCTGTGACCGATTTTCGAGGAGCTTCTGAGCAAAAACATTAACCAATCAGCAAGATGGATGGGTTACCAACCGAAACTCAATGCAATCTGTGCTGAATTTGGCTGGTAATCTTCATTATTTTGCTCAGTCAAATAATTTGGCTTTATGCCAAAAAATTTTCTCGATGCAGCTCAGTGAAATCAGTTTTCAGACATTTAAAGTGCTTATAATTCTTTCAGCTGACATGTATTTTCTTAAATTCCTAAAAAGTGAATTTTGAATTAAATTTTGTACTTTCTTCGTATTGCTGTTTGATTATTTGGGATTATGTTTTAATTTCCATTTGTCTTTCGACTTTACAATATATATATATTTTTAAGTCTTTACACTTTACTTTTTCGTGTCTACATATTTTTTTTTTATATTTCTACTTTCTAATCATTTTTCTGTTGATTTACAATCAATGTTGCTTGATTTTTTTTCTGTTTACTTAAAATCACTTTGTCACTAATTAAATACGTTTAATTTTTATAACTTCTTGTTGGCTTGTAAATTTACCTGTATGAATAAATCAATATAATCTTGCATGTTGCATGATGTCATCGTACATGTAAAGTGATTTTGTTCTCCCCTGATATATATATTTTTTTCCCTTGAAAATTTACTGGGTCGTTTCCAGTATTTATTTGTTCTTAATATTTTCCCCATACCTTTTCTCGTCAATACCATTTGCGTTTTTTTTCTTCTCAATGTACCCATTGAATTTACTCTTTTCCTTTGTATGTACCGGTATATATCCACTCTAATTATGTATATGATAAGATTTATAAAAGTTCTTTCTCTTTTATATCTGTATTTTGATAATTTTTTCAGTTCTTGTGAACAATTCATACTAATTTTCAGTTTTTAATATTTTTTTTGTTTCCTTTAATGTTTTTGTGTCTATACTTGTATATTCCAATGTAAAAGATCCCTTTGAAATTTATGTAAAATAAATGAGTAATTTAAATGTTTTCAAAAGCGGTAATCATATTCAAACATATCACTCATATCTCTGTCTTTTATCAAAGACATTGGTAGAAAATTATAGCCCTTCTGTGTTCTTGAGAATAAAATCACTGATGATTTGTATTCATTGATTACATTGGAAATCTCTTTCATTAACAAGAGGTTTCAGGTGCTCTCGACGTTGGCAGATTTTGTACAGATCCCTTTAATTTGAGTCAGTGATATTAAAATTAAATTTCAAATTTTTAGCTACTCCGGGAAATGTAACATAGAAAATAACATACTTATTGCAGGTTTGAATATGATTCCCATTTTTAGATAAACAATATTCCCTATTTCATATTCTTAACTTACAAATATTCCACCCCAATATGTGTATTTGAAGAAGTTGAGATGCCCATTGATGGAAAGATCGCTAAAAATAATCATATCTAGAAAGAAGGAAATAAAATCACTTTTATTGTAGATTCCCCTGCACAATAAGCTACATTCACTGCTCCACGCTTCATGCATTGCCACTTGGTCACGCTCACTTCCCCTCACATAAATTTGTCAAACCACCCCCCCTCTCCCCCCCCCCCCCAAGTCTTCCCATTATTATCCTAAACCACGTTTCATCAATCACAGGTCAAATTTGCCCTTGTGTATTTGACCACTGTTTTCTATTTTATTCCTTTTTATCCTATCGTTTCCGTGACAACAGTTATAGACGGCAGAGGTTGGTTAAATTCATTTTGAAGCATGCCAGTTGTGTGGTCATTTTTTGTAGTGGAACATTTTGTATGTGTGCACCGTTAAACAAAAGTACCACCCATTTTTTTTTGGTTTGAGTTTGTAGTTTTAGTTTGTCATTATTTGTTTCATTCAACCGCTTGTCTATGTTTTCATTCATGCTAGTCGGTTAAATATATGATTTTTTACAAGTAGATGGGTTCTAATCATGTTTGATTTTGATTTGATTTGTTTGATTTGAGTGAAGTAAATATTTCTAATTTGCTTCAAATAATTAAAACTATGATCAGTAGAATACATGTAGGTCAGTCACAGAATAACACGAGATTAATTCATCCAAGATTTATTTATGCATGTTGTATATTGAGTAGTCACCGTCGTTTATCTTCAAATAATTTTTTTTTCTTGCATTCTATCACCTGTATCTGTCATCTTTCATTTCCGGTTTTGATTGAATGTTTGTCCAGAAATTCAGACATTGTATATTTCCTGGGGGGATTAAAATGATGCCCCCTCCTCTCTGTCACTTGTGAAGATGGGGTTTTTTTTTGGTTTGGTTTGGTTATCTTTCAACACACCCTATGGTAAGACTAACCCAGCTGTACTGAGGTTTAAATGTTGTCGCAAAATGTTCACTGTAAAAAAAAAAAGAGTGGCGTCTTTTAAGTAATCCTTTGAAATATTCATGGCGGCACTCGACAGCCGTGGATCAGGTTTTTTTTTTTTTTTCGTTCTAGGGTCCAGCAGCGCTCTGCTGGAGCGTATGATAAACAGATTTTATATTGATCATTCCCAGAGTGTCTCTTTCAGAGCAGGCTTCGGAAGGTGCGGTGGGATAAGAAATATGTCTTTGGGTGGTTTAGGATTCTGTCAGCTCGAGAGCGTTTGATTAAGTTATTAATGTTTTTTGTTGGTGGGAACATTTGCCGCTGCTCATGAATCTTAGATGAGGGAATTCAACAACAACAACAAAATGAAAACAAAAAAACAAGAGCTGTTCCCAATTGAAATTGGGAACAGCTAACAAACGGAAAAAGTCTTATTTTTTCTTCTTCTTGTTTGAGTGCGTGGGTATACATGTACACTGATTTAACTGTGTCGCTCGGATTTTGTAATTTGATGAATTTCATGGATTTTACCAAGTGAACTATTTTTTTTTGCAGAAGTTGGCGTTTGGAAAATGACCTTAAACTTGCTTACTTTGAAATGTATAGTTGGTGACTTATTTTGCGTTATCTGGTCATGCATAGTGTAATTCAACTTGTCAAATTTTTCAATCTCATTTCCTGTTGTCTTTCATTTTCAATGGTAAGGTACACCTCTTTGTCTCCAAATAAATAGCCTACTTAAATAAGAAAAAAAAAATAATTCACTGATCTTTTCTTAGGGGTGGGGGGATTATGGGAGGACAGTTCTAAAAAAAAAATGGATGCCTTAGGCCAAAAAAAAAAGTCTCTGGCTTGCCCCAAAAGTGGTGCGGCGACGCGGCTTTTTTTTTTTTTTTTACCTGTTTTTTTTTTTTTTTTTGGCTTCAAATGTCGGCTGATGACTGCAAATGGTGCCCGACTAAACTTAGTGCAAATATATGGGAGTCCAGAGAGGCCACATAAAGCTTATTCTCAATCATAACCCCATCTAAAAACACGTTAAAATTGTGCAGCAGCAGAATTCCAGTCAAACCAGTGAGTTTGGCGGTTTTGAGACATCATCTTTTATTGAAAAAAAACCTTTTTCATTTTGCCGACGCGCATGGCTACGGCGACGCGCGCGCATACCAGAAACCGGAGACTTTTTTTTTTGGCCTTACTTATGATAAGGGATTAAGATTATTTGAGTGATCGTAAATTTAACAGTCGCAGTACTAGTGATCTTCAGTTGAGGCTGAACATTCCAGAAAGTTGGGGGGGGGGGCAGGAAGTGCACTGGAGTGGGAGGGGGAGGGAGGAATGGTGCAATATGTCGGCCATTGTCAGTTTTTGTATTAAACTGGGGCTCAAAAAGCTCAGGGGCATAATTTTCAAGTGAATTAAATATTTTCAAAATCGCGATATCAAGGGCCCCCTTGAACCCTGTCTCCCATGCACAGACTATGGCATGGTGCAATCCTAAGAACAGGAAGATTTCAAGAACCTCACCATCGATCAACGATCCTACTTGACCCAAACGATGTTGATAACTGGCTTAGAACTCTGTGTTCCATTATCACCCGACATATTTGTGGCCGTGTGGTCAAGTACATGCAGTCCGTACCATGACACAAGGGACATGTACCTGTGAATTATCTCAGCACCGACAAGATAATTCAATCAACTGAATAGAATAAAAGAAAATTGTTCCAAATCATTTGCTAGAATTTAATTTCCTGTACGTGTTGGTCTTTGCGAGAATCGAGTCTCCACGAAACTAGATCCTTTCCTGTATTCTTGCCCCGGTTCTGTTGCCGGGGTTGTAGCATTTATGCAATCAATACTGAGATTGAAGGAACCAAATACGGTGGTTTTGAATTCAACTTCCCTCCATCCTCCAACCCCCCCCCCTTTTTTGGATTACATTGTGGAACGATTGAATTCTGATTACTCTGTGCTACATGGGCTTGTTTCTACTCTAGCAGCCCAATTTTGTTGTCATAATAATGATGCATAATACCATACATGGGTGATACCTATAGACCTTTATCATGCTGCCACCATTTCAGTCATGTTCCCTGTATCCAGTAACAGTACTGAATGATACATTTTTTGTGCAAAAAGGAATCAGACTATTTTTCCTTCCAGCCTCGCTTTGGTTACATTGATTTGAATGGGAAAAAATCAAGATGGCCGCAACATGATAATGGTCTATTAACTCTGTGCAAGGGTTAAGTCTCAAGCTCACTTTTTACATTGTGTACAGCGTATCTGCATAATTATGCAATTATTAATTTTCAGTGGAGGCTCGTTTTGGGCAACAGCATCAACTGTTTTGTTGTTTTGGGTTTTTAAGTAAGATTTGAGGCTTTGCATGGTGAAGATACTAAATAATGAAAGGTTTGCGGAAACACCATGTGCGAATAATTTCTCAACTAAGAGAATGGTTCTGAAAAGAACCAGAGGTATAAACTCGACGTTCCGGTCAGTATGCTCTGACCGTCTTCAGGAGAGAGTTTTGGGTTTTTGTTTATTTCTTTCTTTTTACACAGCAGATCACATTTGTTCTTTGATATTTGAGATGCTAATCCCCTTTTGTTTTGGTAGATGGGGGAGGGGCGCACTTGAATTTAAGGTCAATGTAACCTTATACACACCCCCTCCCCTCCCCCTATGCTTTTTGTAAATTTTTCACTGTCAAAAATTCCCAAAATTCAATAGCAATGACTAAAAAAAACCCAAGTTTTTGGCAAAATAATATCTAGATGCAAATTTAACACCCATATAACATTGGAACTTTATTCTTTTTACAATATGATATAAATAAAATCAAGATTGAGAAAAATTGTCACGACAAATGACTGACTGAAAGATTGCAACATAGTGTTTGGATTACATTCGCAGTTAAATACATGTAGGTTAATCGAACACACTTTGTTGCAAAGAAGAATAAAATACGCTGCTCCAGTCCCTGTTTTTATATAATTATTTATGTATTTATGTTATGGTTAAGCATTGCGGATGACATTCCTGAACTCCCTACCTAATTACATTTACCGAGACTAAACGCTTACAACTCGAGATGATTATTGATGACATTGCACAGGGAAGAAGAAAAAAATCCAGGATTAAATTAATCACCACACGCCTTGGATTTCCATTCGGGCATACCGATACTGCCGATTCCCACGCGCACATTTTGAGTGAGACGCGATTGATTAGAGCAGCATCCAACACGCTGAAGATGTGCAGCTTCCTTATGAATAATCACTTGGTCAGTTCCTTGAATTGAATTAATCTATTAAGTGCCCGGTGGCCAAGGGCGCAAATTTCTTTAAGAAGTTTCCTCTTGTCAAGCCAGAAATCATTACTTATCTCATGAAGTTAAATCTTTGATAACATTGAATTTTTTTTTTTAAATCTACCTTCAATATTTTTATTTTTCACAAAATGATTGTGTTAAAAGAGTAAGTTTCGTAAAAAAAAAAAATTTAACAGGCATGAAAAAAGAATAAAACTGCTGCAAACCGCTTACTGACCAGATTGACCAAAAATATCCCCTGTCATTTTGCCTATTGGGTGTTGTATAAATTTGGGGTCCCCTTTTTTTTTGCTTGTTAAATCTGACTTCTTTGATTTTATACTTGCACGTCTTAATGCAGTGTGAATGATGTGCTTCTTAATGCAGTCGTCTTCCAAGAGTGATTATGGGGGTTTTCAAAACCTTTGCTTCGTCTTCAGCTTCGGCTTTGCCTCCGACTTCTGAATCACTGAGAGGCAAACTAAACAATAATATTCCAACTTTTGGCTTCATATCAACCGATTGAATGTTCCTGAAGCAAAACAGGCACCAAAATGTAGCTGGAGTTCCAGCAGTTGGGGGCCTCAAATCTCCTTAAGCTGAAGACAAAGCCAAAGTCAGTCATTTCGAAAACGATGTGTGAATGGCAGACTACCTACCCAACAAATAAATAATTGTTTGAAGTCTTCTAAACGATACTAGAATGATGAATTACAAAGTACAAAGTTAACAGGGACAGGAAGAAAAATCCCACTTTGGACCCTGAATTTATAGAATGACCCTGTTGAAAAGACACAGCATTTAGTCAGGTGGCATATGGTCGGAATCGTGACCGACTGGTCCAAGGCACCAAACTTGGCAGATAGATTCTTATAGCCCTAGAGAAGATATTTAGAAGGGGTGACACCTGAAATTCTTTTGGGAAGGGTGCCTAATTTGCATAAACCGTTAATCCCTGTCGTGTAATATATTTATTCCCATATTTGGGTATATTTTTATTTTTTTATTTTTTTGAAAAGTGTATTTTGGTGATTCTACTTGCATATTCTTACTTCAATA